CCGCTCGCACGAGCATTCTGGCTGCAGACACTACGCCGCTCACCGTGAGGACAGACCCCTATACCTGGAGGAGGGCGAGCAAGGATCCTGCACGGTCTGATACTCTTCCCACAGACACCCCTAAAACTCAGCTACCCGAGGCGGGCCAGGAGCAGCCACCCCGCCCCACGCAGGGCCGCGCGTGGGAGACACAGGCTGGCCAAGGCCAACTTCGGTGGGGCCTCGGAGGTAAGGCTCGAAGAGCCGCGGGACCCAGCTGGGGCTGGTCAGGGAGCTGCCTGAGGGGAGCCAAACCGCCTTGGAAGGGGTCGGATTCATTCACACACTTGGCTCCTGTCCTGTCCCTGAGGCGAGCCAAGGACACCTCCAAAATGGCGTCGCTCTACCAGGCACCTGCTGGGCCAGGCCCTGGCCGCTCGCTTCCTTCCCTACGCGGGGTTTGTCTCTCCGCATCCCTCTCCCCATGACCCCTCAGTAAAGCGCCCCGCCCCGCTCGGCCAGTTCTCGCGAGAGCAGGACGGGCGGGACAGAGGAGGCGGAAGTGACGCATAGCATGACGGCGGAGGGCGGACTCCGGAAGTGCGTCACGGCCTCGCCCCCCTGGCGGGCGGGCCTGTGAGCACCAGGCGCGGGGCTTGCGAACGCCGGAGCGGGAGGTGAGGGAGGGACGGCGCGAACCATTTACTAATTGCTCCGGGCTTGGCCTCTTCCTTGGGGCTCCGGCTCCCCGCGTCATCCTAGCCCGGCCGCTCCGCCGTGTTTCCATGGTAACCGGCGGAGCAGCGCCCTCGGGCTCCCATCACAGCCCCCGACCCCCATCAGGACCCCTCGGGGCCAGGCCGCCGCGGCTCTGCGCCTCTGGCGGGCTCATGGGGGCGGGGGTGTGAAGGCCGCTCCTCGGGGAAGGCCGCGTGTGCGGCCGCAGCCCTTCCTGGGCGGCTTCTCAGGCCCTGTCTAGACCGGGGACCCGCGCTCCTCCTTGGAACTGAAGTATTTACTGGGCGTGCAGCGCCTCTGCGTGGGTCAGCTCCCGGGTGGCCCGTGCTGGTTTAACCTGAGCTGATTAGGAGTCAGGTGAAGGTTTCAACCTGTGGGTGGTGGACCCCTGAGGGTCTGCGGACTATGGCTGAGGGGG